TTCCCTATATAGATGTGGATTGTTTGTTTGTTTGTTTCAAAAAATATTTGTAGCAAAAGGTGACTAATTGAGCCAAATAACTGCTGGTGTGCTGAAAAGGACCATTAAATTCCAGATTTCTGTGGTCATTTCTGGATTTGCCCTCATTTCAGCATTTCCCTCAAACATACTCAGGGAAGATGTCAGCTCTCAAATGATATGCTTGCAGGTGAAAATGGAGTCATTCAATTAGTAATCACTGTGCAATTAGGCTTTGTATCAAAATAGAAATTACTTTTCTAAAAATAGACGTGATGACGTGTTAGCTCAAAAGGAGTAGGCTTGTGAAAAGATAGGAAGAGGAACAAAATAATGGCTCTGAAGGCCATCATAAAACTGAAGGGCAAAGCAAAGTAATCTAATAAAAACTAAAATCCATAAAATCAAAGTCCTGAGTGTTTAACAGTCTCAGCACAGATGGAGTTTGTAATCTCAGTGGTTGCAATGTTCTTAAATAGCCTTTTCTGAGATAATTCTGTTATATTGTTGTCATAAGGAACAGGAAAATCAGTGTGGTATTTCAAAAGTCATCTGTGACAAGTTTTGATAAAGGCCAGTGTATTTATGCAATTTAGCTGGAAAAGGGAAAAGAAAACATTAAGTTGAAAAAAATTGTGGTTAGAATACTCTCTTATCCATCGGTTTATGATCAGCGTAGAACTTTTGTCACAATGGCAAATTCTCATCACTGCAAATGACCTTGACAGATACCAGGTTCTTTAAGGAGGAAGTTATGGAGCAAACTGAGTAACTTCATTGGCATTAAATCACTATCACCAAATAGTGTTTAGCAGGGGCCTAAAAAAAAACAATAACTGTGAATAACAGGGATACCAAAGAAAGAATTTAATACACTCTCAATTGCAACAACTGTTCTTGAAAGATTTAAGAGTGATGATATAGCATCTATTTTTTAAAATGGAATTGAGAAAAAATGTAAGAAGGAGCAACTGAGCCTTTCAGTCAATTTCTCAGGTTTTTATTCCATACCTTTCTGTTTTTGTTCACTTCAGAAATTCTTAATTAAGCTCTTTCCAATTAAGATTTCTGTTTTTCTTAGTCTTTTAACCCATTACATATTTCCTGACCAATAAATAAATAAATATATATATGTAATCTGAGTATGCCTGAAAATAACTGAATTCTTGAAAACTGAATGCTTGAATTCTCTTTTCCTTTTCCTTTGTAACTTTGTATTTTCCTTTTTCAACCAGCTGTACTTACATGCGCTTGAATCATTTTTTATATTTCAACATTTTTTATTCTTTATTAGCTTTGAATTCTGCTTTTCTTGTTTTTATTTTAAAACTTACTGTCTATGATGCATGTGATTCTTGAACACAACTATGAAATCAGGGAACCTCATAGAGCATGGAAATACAGAAAAATGAGTTTTTAATTTAATCTTACGTGAGAAGTCTCTGGCAACCCAGTATTAGAAGCAAATTCTTAGCAGTCTGCTCAGAGCTCTGACCAAAACCATGCATTCTTTCCACTCATAATACAGGCAACATCTGTTCATTCATATTCAAATCACTAGCTACATAGGAACACATATGTGAAAACACATATGTATTAGTATTATGTATATGTAGTACTGTGAATAGTATTCAAAATGCTGAATGCTGTCAACAGATATTACCAAAGTGCATCCAACACTTACTAAGTTGACAGATCTAGGTCATACAACTCTCTCTACTCACACTCATTTACTGTTGTGCTACTGACAGGGCTATTGCCAGGAAACGGTATGAAGGAATGATCCGTACCAGGGACAGCTTTCCCTGAAGATGCTTGGCAGCAGCAATAGCTGCTCCTACTGGTAGCAGGGGTAGGAAGACCAAACCAGGAAGGTTAGTTGCAGAAACCGCTGGCATAGAGACCTGGGAAATGGCAGCAGCTCTGTCAGGATCACTGTGGCTGAGTGCGGGAGGCATAGAAGGAGCTCTTAGCCTGTCCAGATTGGAGCTCCTCAAGAAACTGTTAACTATCCTTCTGCAAAATGGCAGCAGGGAGATGCAACCAAAAGGCCTGCAGCTGGATCACACTGCATTAAGGACTCACTCTCCATTTCAAGCGAGTGAGACTTTTTAAATGAAGACAATATGGCATAAATCCAGAACAGATATACGATAGTAGAATTTGTTCTGTCTGGAAAGAACTAGTGAGCAGCAGTGGGGAATAATCCATTAGGTATCATCGTTCTTGTACAGGCCCTCTATTGCTATTTACATCATCCACCAGCAGCTACACGGTGAACTGCTTAGACAACAAGTACTCAGGTGCCAACAGCATTCATTATATTCACCCAGAATCAAGAAATCACATTAAGACAGCAAGTCAGTGCAGAATCTGAACTAGGAGCTTCCACAGAACCCTCTCATTACAACCCCCCCCCCCCCCCCCCAATATACTTCCCCTTGCAGAGAAAAATTAACGAGCCACTAGAGATGGTGATGTTCTACCAAGACTCTACAAATTTACAGTGCCAGGCAAAAAACCCACTGCAAATAAAACTGAATTATTTGCTTTACATGCTATGACTCTTTATTTAAAATATATTATCATTTTATAAACACTAATCAAATCCTCCAATTCATCTTTATTGATTAACGACAAGTTTATATTTGTCTTCTGGAATTTCACTTCAGATTGCATTCTCTTACACATAAAAATGTCTCCACTTTGCAAATGTTTTGTGGAGTATCTTGGTAACATCACATCCCTTCCGCATTATTCTGAAAAGTAACTCCTGTCATGTAGATGCAGGTTTCAGTAGGCAGGAAGAAGAGCTTATGCCAGGTTGCCTATTGTCATTTTCCAAATGTGTCATTATCTGCTGAATTAATCCCACTTGTGTGGTAATTCAAGCAGCAAATGCCTGTTAACCAGTATGCACGTACTCCGTAGAACATTCAATGCTAACAATAAACGTCTTTAAAAACTAGGATAGTATACAAAATACCTGTGAAAACAATTTCCAATTCTAGCAGGATTTCATATTTAGAAAAACAACTTATTTCTTTCTCAAGTGTGAAGAAAAACCTTCATGAAGACTTTCTGAGGACTTATTTTTCATAATAATTATTTTTACCATGAGTTCTCTTACTTTGCTTGAAATCCTAACATTAAATACATCTGTTTATCTTCTTATACAATGAGAAGCTGAAAAATGTGTGCAAGATTAATTCAATTAGTTCATTATGAAAGGATTTTGCCAAATTTTTCAACAATGGAATTACAGTACTGCTTATCTTTAATGGAAGTGGAGGATGGGGAATAATTGACCATCAGTTGTCTTGAGGGAGCACATTAACAGCAGCTTTTCAGCAAAAAATGGAATAAACTTTGAAATACAGAGAGAGTCTTGGACTGAAGTGTAACAAAGGTATTGACATACTTGTTTGTTTTATAGACTTAATAGTTCATACACTGGCCTCTATTTACTTTACCTGATTGTACTGCACAGGGGAAAAAAAAAAAAGCAAAAAAAAAAAGGTTCCTAGGTGTGGGCTAGCAGGATATGAAGCTAGCCAGACTTAAGATGGGCTCCAACATATCAAATCCTTTCAGAAACTTGTCTGTATTCTCATTCTTATGGATAAGAGAATGCTCAACAGACTAGGATTGAAAAAAACATTACACACAGGTCTAGTTTGTTTCTTGAATTTCTCTTCAACCAAAGTAGAGTCTAGCTACACTGTTTAATCAGATTACTCTCTTCTTGTTCTGCACATGAATCCCAGAAAGATTATGCTAACCATCACTATCTAGCCTATACATAGTAAGCTCTAAGAAAATTCAATCTGAAATTAATCTACCCCTGAAGCATCACTTGTTTTAACTGCAAAAATGGTACTTACAGTCACTGAATGATGCACTGAAACTCAACTGGAATGCTCTTAGTGTGATTATTTATTTCTGAGAATATCACAACCAGATCAGATGCTTTAGAAAGATATTGCTGGAATAAAGATGGCAGCTTCTGTATGCTTGGCATAGTCCTTATCTATACCATCTGTTCATTTCTTCATAGGTACAGATAGTTATCATAGGACAATTTACAAACAATCAATTTGATAAATTCTTCCTAATTGTAAATAGAGGAAATAACATGCCTCTTAAAGACACATTAGAATAATTTGACGAATTGCTCTATGGTAATTGATATGGTGTCTGTTTGGAAGGACAAAGGAATTGGCAACAGTTACCTTGAAAAAGAAACCATCATCTAGCTACTTCAAAGTATGTGGTTCCCTAAAAATCAAGCACGTTGTTTACAGCTCTGAAATCTCAACAGGGAGGCAACTGCTACAACAGCCTTGCCCAGACTGAGAAGAGCTGGCCATCAGTCAGCCTTTGCAACATCTCCTTCTTGTCTGGTACATCTTAGAAGAGTACACAAGCTTCATTTCAATGCAAAAAAGTGGGGCTCTTTTTGTAGTCAGTTTGCCAGCCAGGACAAGGTGAATTACCTAAACTCAAATGTGTATTCTAAACTTTTGATTTAAATGCTGGCTAATCATAGAAATAATGACTTCAGAAGCCTGAGTTATCTGTAGAAGTTTAGCCAACAAATAACCATGAAAAGCAATTCTATAAATCAAGACTTTAAGAAATTATGATCAGTACTACTGCTTACCAAGTTCAAGAAAAACATATGATGAAACATTTTGACGTTCTGAAGAATTTCAGAAACTATTTCTTAAAGCACACTAGAAATTGTTAAAAGATCTCAATAAACAAAAATGTAAGTTTACATATAGTGCAACAAGTACATAACTTCAGTTTGTTATTTATTTTCTTAACAGTGACTGGCATGTAAGGCTTAACTTGACTGATTCCTCGGGTGTGGCAACAATGGAAAGATTTGGAATCTCTGCCAGGTATCTCAGATCTATTTTAGTAAAGAAATATCACCAAGTAACTTTTAAATGAGAGAAGAAAAAATAGTATCATACCTGAGACTGTGCATTAATATTGGCTCCTTCCTTAACCAAAACTTTGACAACTTCAGCTTGTCCTGCTAAGGATGCAATGTGCAGGGCGGTATTCCCTTTCTGTTAAAAAGAGAAGAAAGATGAAAGATGTTAACCTTTTTGTTGAGGAATCACTTAAACCAGCAGCTCTTTCACAATATTTAGCATGCAGGCCTTCAATTTTTAGTATAATATTGCCTCATAATTCCATGATGTTCCATAAGCATCACATGGGATTGAACAGTTAGCTGCAGCCATGAAGATTTCTGGAGTGGCTGTGTAACACTAACATTCCAACAAAAATTTTAACTGAAATTATAGAGCTTGATTTGGGTTTGGAACAAACTTCTGGGTAAAGTTTAGTATGGGCTAACAGCTTTTTTGCATTCAGCTCCAGCAATAACACCCACAAGGAAGCTGCTGAAACCAGGGAGTCCCAAAATTCAAGCTATGAACCACATGTGAAGTGAAATTTTCTAATGCAGTGCCCAAATGGAAGGAAGATCTGACTGTCAACCTTGATGGAGATCCCTTGCATCAGAAATCATTAAGCAAAGAGCGTTTCAGGGTCACACTGGTGTTAAGTGAATCCAAAACCAGTCTGCTCAGACACTAGGAATCAAACATTTCATCAATCAAGCAAAAAAATCTGGCGCATCACGAAGAATTTACTACCCACAGACAAATAGCTTACTGACTGAATGGTTTGGACGTACCCATGTCTGTGGAAAGATTGAATGCAAAACAAGTTTTCATAGTTTTTTCTACACTGTGCCCTGGAGTAAAAAGGCTCTGGATATGATATACTTATTTATCAGGTTTCACAGATCTGAAAAAACACACCATCTTAAGCTATAATCACTTTGAATGTAATGGGCAATTATCATTGGAAATAATGAAAAACTGGCATCACTGAAACTTGTACAATGTTTCCCCTGCAAACAGATTGTATAAACAGTTATTTCTGTCTGCTTTTACTACTGACAAGCCTCAGCCAAGAACACAGACTCACAGTATACAATATAAAAGCAACACTGTATATACAAGTGAAGTACTTACAGTTTTCCAACTTCAGTACTTTTTTTCTAAACCTCTCCCATATATTTGACTTGTTCTTTTTGAGAATAAATGTGCATACGTGTAAATTACCTTAGTGGCAGAATCCACAGCCGACCCTCTTTCCAGTAATTCTTGTACCAGTCCCACGTGGCCTTCTTTAGCCGCCAGGTGCAGAGCATTGAGCCCATTCTGTAAGCACAAGGGCCATATCAATTACAAGTATCAGTTCTGAAGATACACATTCCCACCTTACTCTGGTATAAAAAGATTAGCTGCTGGACTACTATTACATCTCTGAGCTGACTGCCTACATAAGTCAGATATTTTGGACATGATTTGTTAAGCCAAGGCACTACATGACAAAGCTTCTCCAATAACATTTTTCTCATAGCAACAAAAGGCATCAAAACAAACCACGTTTTCATCCAGAAAACACTCCTAAGAGAATCCTTCCATTCTTACAGTTCCACATTTCCCCAGACTACTACCTTGAGTATCTCCATGGAGCCCATTATTTCAAAATTGGAATGCATAACATTTTTCTATGGACTGTAGCTTTAACCATCTTCATTGAGGTATTACCACCATAGAGAAAACACAAGACTTGGCAAAATTTACACAAAACGTGCCTTGAATTAAGATACCTCCAGGCTGATATAGTTGTCCTGAACCCTACCCCTAGGATATCAGGTATCAATTAGAAGACTGGTAGCAAAAAATAAACCAAAACAGTTGTTGATGGTGGTTTCCAAATTATACTGATCTTTAATGTAGTCTATCTGCTGGGTTGTTGGTTTTTTGTGTTGATTTTTTTTTTTTTTTTCACTAAACTTTGCAGGTTTGTAACCTCACTCAAAAAGGAAAATAAATCTAATTAAATGAGAGCTGGGATTTAAAAAAAAAAAAAATAGAAAAAGAAACTCAATACAATCAAAAACCCCAACTAACAATAAAATAAAAGCTAAATTCTTTTCTTATTAAGTAGGATACTTTATCTTCTATTAATTCTGTCCATGCAAACTATATCTTCCTCCTCTTCCTAGTATTCCCATTCCATCCAAGGGAAAAACATAAAATGACAATCTATTATAACAGAATTTCCAACCTATTTTTCACAATCCTGTTACTTTTCACAGTGCATCAGGCAGGTGACAGCAACTGATACTGCCACTACCCTCAAGCATTCTGCTGTTTTCCATATTGCAAGCATCATAAGCAATACTTGAGTATCTGAGTAACCTGCAGCAGGTTTAGCACTGTTGTAGTTATTATACTTGTCTCACAGCAGCTCATAGACATTTAAATTACAAAATAACCAAGCAGCTTTCTGGTGTCTTATTTGACCATCCTCAGTGGCAGCTCAAGCTCATGATGCCCAGTGGGATTTTAAAGCACTTAGCACTTCACAGGAGGCATTTAATGGGAGCTGCTCCAATGGCTGCAGGCACAGCGATCCAGCCACATTTCTGAAGTAATTTTTAATTCTACATTCATGCTTGCAACATAGGCAGAGTTTGTGGTCAAATTCAGAAGTACAAACACACTGCAATGAGGAAAGTAAAGGAACTGAAGGAAGGATACGTTCACAAGCTGCCAGACAAAGAAGAATACCCTTTGGTGGTTAGTAAACATCAATGGGAAATATGGTTTCAAATCCCATTATGAAAGTGAAGCAGCAGTAACTAGATCCTTCTTACTCCAGAGGAACAGTCCTACCATAGAGCTGCAGTGCCCCAGAGCAGCAGTAGTGCCATGCCCAGAATCAGGAATATATTTTTGGTTGAAATTTATATGATGAGGTTGACCATAATTATCAGGATGAGTAACACTGCACATGTCAGTGCATTCTTCTGCAAGCTGAAAACATTTCAGGCAGCCCTAATCTGCCTTGTTTTTTTAATCTCTGCTGAATATACCATAACCATAATTACTGTCTGCAGTAGCTTAGTTTAGGAGTGGTATTTTGTGAGAAATACACAGTATTTTTGAGAACAAAGACCTGTTTTTACACCTGAGTAGTAGTACTGTTCAGTCATCAGCACCTTCCATGAGAGTATGAACAGTAAATCTGACACCCTACTGTTGGACACAGCGGATGTGTTTCTACCACCTGTATCAGCCTTTTTTTCATTCTTTGGAAGCAGACTGAATTCCACAGACAACAGACAGCACCTGGAACATTGCATAGCCTACACAAGTTATGTGAACTCACATGCCTCTGGTTGCAAACCATTGAGAACAAGCTGTTACATTAGTTAACATGCACCATGTACAAAGAAAGCAAAGGGCCAGCAGGACTGAAGCCTTAAAGCAAGCTTTGTTCCTCTGTAATCAGCACCAATGCTGTAATTATTTCCCGGCCCACAAGGCTGATCTCTGCTACTTATGATGATGGAAGCTCAGATTTAATCAATGCAACTCCTCCGTTCCTGTCAGCTGCATTCTTGTATTTTAGAAAAACAAAGGTTTCTGACACTTCCCTTTTCTCTCTCATGCCTACCAAAGAGTTGTGGGTGGGGGCGGGGGGGGAGATTAAATCAGTTGTCTGCTGAGCAAAATTGCATGGCATTTGGACTGCTTCTCCCCACAAAGTATATGCAACATAAATACCTTTTTTGGAGGCTCATTTATAAACCTCACTCTCATAAAAGAATACAATGGAAAGCCTTGCAAGCTTGGCTGTTCAAATGTTTCCCTACAGAGCCTGATTCCCTTGGTCCTTCCGCTCCTCTGCCACTAAGCTAGAGGTTCTGGCATTTCACATCCCATGGGGAGCTACCAGCATATATGTGCACCACTGTTGCTTTCAGCATGCACTGTAGCATTACCCTTCAGATTTTCACTAAACAGAAAAGCTTCCAAATTTCTTGCAAGGTCCAAGGAACATCAGTCAACTTTTCTCATCAGACTGGCACCAAGTCTCCCTGCTATTGCCTGAAAAACATCCAAGGAATTCCACAGTACTTTTGCCTTTGACCTGAGTTGCAGCAGGACTGGATCCTCATTGCATGCATCCTCAGGCAGCATTGCTATCTTTGTTAAAGTCAAATACTTTTCTCCATTTTTAATAGGTGTCAGTCTAAGGTTGCTGCAAATAGTCTCATTTGAATAAATCTCTCAGGGAATTGAGGAGCACATGTGGTCAGCATCTTTTCAAGAATGATTTGGCAGAGGGCACATCAGAGAACTTGGCATCGATTTCTCCACTCAAAAAGTTGTTGAAGTTTTGCCTAAAAATATCCCAAAGAGATTTAAAAAAAAGAGTGGTAAAAGAAAGAAAGTAAAAGAAATAATTTCAGATTATGAAAATTCTCCTTTTATATTACTTTGTAGCCTACGAATTCACAAAAATGAATTAACCTACTAAGTTAACAACATGTGACAATATTGACCTCATTATGACTATAGTGCTACTTCAGTCTATAGTTAGCACTAGTGGGAATGTCAGCAGCTCTCCATTCGGACTAAATGACAGAGTAATTAATAGCTGATGCTTTCTCTCACTGAAACTAAAGCAGTAAAGACACCAACAAAATTATAAAGAAGTCAAAAAAATGAGAACAAAAGCCAAAAATATGTAAGTTATAAAAAGCTCTCCTCTGTCCTAGCTATCAGACTGTGCATACACTCCTTGTGAACATAGAAGGCTTAATCAGAACAAATGTCAAAATCCATCATAAGTACTTCCTTCCAAGAAGGCATTTTTAATAACGTAGAAATGGACAAACCTCAAAGACAAGGGATGGTAACACTAAGGTGCCCTGCATTTTGTACCACCAATTCTGTTTGGTGACAGCTGATTACCTCTTGGTCTTGCCAGATTTGTGGGTCTAATTTTTGTTAGACCTATGAATTTTGTTAGACCTGAATGCTGAAGTTAAAGGGCTTCATGTATGCACGTATGCAAAATTGTAGTTCATTTATCTAGTCAATATTTTGAGTGCTGATTCAAATATTTCAGAAGCAAGGATTGTTATATTAACAAGAAATGGTAACCATATCCTGAACTACCTATGGAAAATAGCTCTAAAGGAATCAGATTTCTAATGTCTATCAGTTTTTCATCCTATAAAATACTAGATATAAAATACTTATATATTTGATTTTATTTAAAGCTATGAAATTTTGTCCACAGACATTTCTAAATCTCTCCAGATACAAAGAAATATCAGAATAACCGATTTCCGAATAAACGATGGTGCCAAATCCCAGATTAAAGGAAGAAAATCCACAATAATTTGATGCGATATGAGCTGAAGTTAGCATTCAACAAAACACGATTAACTAAAAAATAATCCCTGCATTCAGTACACTCAGAAGTATTAAATTCCATCAAATTTTGAAAAGTGTTAAACAGGGAAAATACTTTTGTCATCTATAAAGACAGGTCTCAAAAAAAATTTAGGGTTTGAGAAGCAACACTAAAACTGAAGAAAGCATCTTGTTTTGTCTCTTCAGGAAAGCTTATTCTTAACGTTATTTACTGCTTACTGAACTGGCGTCTAAAATAGCATTACACTGAGAGGGAAAAAAAACTGACTAGAGAGGGCTTCATGTTTGAAAGACTGTGCAGATATCTCACTTTAAAAATAAATTGCATTTCCTGAGTAAAGCAGCTCTCATGCCTTATTTCTTGTCCTCCAGAACAGGAGTCTGCTTGCACTCCTAATAAAACCTAAAATACAACAGCGATGCTTAATCAATGGAAGCTGAAGGTCTTAGTTATGGAAAGCTAAGCGTACCAACTTCAGAAATTTTGTCAGAATTTTTTGTATGGCACTAGAATTGGAGTTTCCAAGAAGCTAAAATACTTGTACATCCATGATAGATGGCAAAGGTTAAGAAATCATGTTTTCTAGTCTTGTTAAGGCAGGAGACCTTGAAAAGATCCAGAGAATAATCAATGTCTTCAGGAAAAACAGATTTATCCAGTGCACAGAGAGAAGTTTTGCCTAGCATACAGGGACTCAGACAATCCAAAACAGACATCTGTTTTATTCATAGGTCTGAAGGATTGTATTTTCTACTCTGTACTGTTTGTCAGAAGCTCAAAATGCTGTACATATTCTAGAACATCCCTGAGTCAACTCAGACATCAGGTAATATTATTTATCAAATAAAAACAAGAAAATAAGTCAGTATGAGCTTTTAGTTTTTTGTTACTGTTGGCTTTTTTTTTTTTTTTTTTTTTAACCCTTACAAAGCCAGGTATAAATCCAGCTTTGATCTTTAACCACACTGAAAAGCCAAAAATCCTGAAAGTTGGTGGTGGTGCCACCTACACCATCCAGGAACACTACCTTCCTGTTTCAATACACTAAGAAATTACAGAGCGTCTGTTCTCCTGCATTTGTGGAATCTGCTTGCAGTTAATCTGGCTCTGATTTCACCTATGTGATATCAATTTATAAGAAGGACTTGCTTTGCACAATATTGTTAATGTGCTTTCACGAAGGAGCGCAGCAAGCCACAGAAGGGAAGCACTTCCCACAGAAGATGAATCTGCAGCAGCCCTAATCATGCTTCTCTCATAGCAAGCAAAAGAAAATGAACACGAGTAAAACTGAAAACCTTTTAAAGTTTCCAAGTGATTATCATAGCAAGCACGTTCTGTCTTGTGTGTGAGCCTTTTTGTTAATATTTCTCTTTATTATCAAGCCACCGAATTGTTGGATGTATTTAAAAATATTTCTAAGAGCAGTTTTGAGAAACATAGTCTAGATTTAATCTCTCCTATCTGGGTAACTTGAACTTTGCCAGATTCTGTCCCCTGTAACAGGTACTTTCCAGACAGTTGATTTTTTTTTAATAGAAACTCTTACAGAGAGCAGGACAAGATCCTCTCTATATGTTTTCAATAAATAGCACATGTAAAGCCCCAGTTCTTCTCCTGTTCATCATTAAATTCCCTGACACTGACAGCAATGGAATCTCTCCCTTCTCATATTCAGCCTTCCCTTTGACACACACTGCCTAATCACTGGCAGCTATTCTTCAGCAGGAAAGATAATGCCTCAAAATACTTTAGATTATTTCTTTTCTTATTCTTCCATCTATTCTTTTCTGAAAATAAGCAGTGGCCACAGCTGTGGGCCTTTTTTAATTAGTTCTGATATTTTGCATCATAGTCAGCATTATCTGACATTCTCCAGCAGCAATAATTCGTTTGTTTGGGTTTTTTTTAAGCATACTTATTTCTAGTTCAAATGTCAGTACATATCAGTAAGGAGCCATGAATTTCACTGAGGTTTTTTTGGTGGTACAGATATCATTTGGATAGTATAAAGCTGCAGTTCAGGAAAACAGTCTTCTTCAGACTAGCACTTGGCTGCACTTTTAAATTAAATAACATTGGATTTAACATTGTGCATATAGCTAAATCATTAGAGAATTAAGGATTCGAAAAATCTGTGAATATCAAGAAACCTTAGAAACCTAACACTCCAAATTTCTGTCAGCACAGCTAACATGCTGCTGTCAACACAAGGACTCTTTAGAGCAGCCCCAACACTGCAACACAGGCTCACAGCCTTCTCCTGTGCTGCACTGGGCCCAAAGACAAGGCTTGGGTGCACATCTTTTTGTTTTCTGGGCAAAAGTTCCTGAAATAACACCAACTCTGTATCAGAGCTACTGAAGAAGAGTTGTGTTTCTTGTTTTGCTTGATTTATAATGATGCCACAAGTAAGCTGTGAGCCATGTGGTGAAAGTCTGAGGCAAGGTCTTTGAGATCAAGTGTACTTGTGTAGTACAAGAGAACTATGGGCGTACTCTGACAACAGTCAGGAGCACATTCAGTCTTATCCTCTGCTAACAAACTTCCCCTGGATACCTGTTTCTTTTCACCAGGCAAAGGCTTCTTCCTTACAGCTCTTTCAGTGGGCTGAACCTGATGCTATAAGCTACCCAAGTAAACATTCACTGAAGTTTCTGTTCACCTCGGGCACTGAAATTTCATCCATCTCATGAGGCATGAATTACAAATAGAGCTAACAAGAAATTTCTACTAAATTATTTACTGATTTTATGTATTTAAAGACAAACTTTAAAAGCATTTTTACTTCCAGAGTTTCTACATACTGTCTAGTTTGTGGTCATTCTGATCAAATCTGACTAAGAGCTAGGAGGTAGTCATCATAAAGCTTGAGCTTTCAAACCCCTCTTCAAAGAAACACCCCTGACTCCGCTACAATGTCAAGACACTTAACTGCATGCTTCTTTTAAGTAACAGTTGCAGTCCTATTAAATTGGATGGTACCAATCACTTAAGCACCACAAACTCAGGGTCCTGGGCTACGAAGCAGAAATAATTGGATTTTTGCAACTCATTTTACAAAAGGGCCAAACCAAAATATTCCATCACAGTCATATCTATGTTGAAATTTTAACTCTGTGTTTTTACGATACTAATTCCTCTGAAACAGGAGGTAGTAGTTCAAGCAGAATATTAAAGTATATTTTTATAGACATAGCAATATATTTTGACATAACAATATATTTTACAGAGTAATTTGACCAGTGATAAAAACATATCTCAGTTTAGTTTTCCAAAATTGTTTTTGGAGGAAAAAAAGAAAAAAGAAAAAAAAAAAAAAAGGAATAAAATCATAGTTTCTTTAACGACCTGAGGGTAATCAGATTTGCAATGCTAATTACCATTTGACTAGAGATTCCACAACCAAGCTTCAAGATGTTAATCTTCTTGAGCACATGTTAGCTACTCAGCTAAAAATACTTCCCACTGGATGTTTCTTTATGGGCTGAGAAATCACAAAAATAGCAGGGGAAGCCATGGACTTCCTCACCTCAGGTCACTGGGGATCAGGTGCTCCACGTGGGGTGGTGCGCTTAAAGACCAAGGAAAATCAGTTGACTGGCCACACTGCTTCCAATGCGATCAAGTAGCATACAATATTTCTGTAACAGTAAGGCTGTATAGTGCTGTCTCTGCCACAGGAGTGAACATTCTGAATTGGATCCATTCTTGCTCTAGGTGAAACAATTACCTCTACAGCTCTAGCAATTGCTCTTAAGGGACAAGTCTGGCACTGTGGAGTACTAAACTTCCTTTTGTTTCCCTTAAATTGAAAACGAAGAAGTGTTTTAGAACCCACTGAAAATATCTGAGGTCATGCACTAACCATACAGTTGCAAAAAACTCCTAATATTTTATGAAGATTTGGGCATTAAACAACCAGCAGACCAAGGAAATACTTATTAGAGATGAACAACAATGGAAAAGCACCTACTTTCCATCACTTTTCTGTCTTTAGATTATTTAGTGGTACTTGGAACTCATTGCCACACAACAGAAAAAGGATTGAAGAAGGGATTTTAAAATTCGGCGTATAAGTAAATAAAATGAGTTTTGTTTCCCAAAATATTAACTAAATAATCTCAATAAAAATACATTAACAAAATTCAAAGATACCATGCAAATTTACTTATTTATTTTAGTAAGATTATTCAACATAATAAAATAGAAGGCATTACCTTCAGAGCAGCCCTCATGCAAGTCTGAATTTGCAAAAGAGTTAGAATTTTGTGTATTCTGAAAGAAATTATCTTGGCCTTAATCGTAATACATTAATACACATTTTTAAAAAATACAGAAAGAGTTGGTGTTTTCAGTTTCATACTTAGTTTTTTTTGGACTTATTGGAGCTTAATGAACTTATTAATGAGCTTGGATTGCTCATTAATTTAACATGAACGCTGGAGGAATGGGCTACAAGCTGAGTAATTCGTACCAGATAAAGTAGATCTTACTAAACAGCATTTTGTAGCTGAATATTTGCTCTGTCAGCGTTACAATGCTCTTTGTATTTGTTGCACTTTTCATGGAAATAAATAGGAAGCATTACTTTCAGAGCAACCTATGTAATTTCTTTCTTAAGTTATTGCTATTACCATCATATAAATGAGTGCGCATCCTGAAATGAAAGGAATATCTTTCATTAAAATGGAGAAATTCCCATTACATGGGGATCCATGCCTCATCACAAATAAAATGAATACCCTCAATAAAAAGCAGTAACTAAAAGCACACAAAAAATTGTTGGCAGAATTTGTCATACTTAAAAAAAAAAAAAAAAAAAAAAGACAAACTTATCTTCCCTCTCCCTAGGAATACTACCTAGTAACTTTTGCAACCAAGACTTTTTTGGTTGGTTTTTTTGTTCTGTTTTGTTTTGTTTTTGTTTTTTTGTTTTTTGCATAAATTGAATATTTTCAGGAATACAGCTATATTTAGTGTTTACTGTTTCAGTTGGAACTGGAACTTCACAACAGTAGGTCCATTAGCCTTAGAATACCAGAAAATACCTTGAATTTTGATTTTACGTATAGCAGTAATGTACATATTCAAACCTGCAGGATACTGTCAGAAAGAAGAGCTCCAAAAGGCTTATGCAAAGCTTTATTTAAAAGCAATATAGAGACAAGAACAGTTTTATATAGAAAGTTCCCACTGAAGAACAAACTTAAAGACATAGCTTGAGATGAATTACGTGAGGTAATTCATGTGAATTACCATCTACGTGAGGTAATCTAGCTTGAAAATTCCAGTTTGGTGAAGAGAATATGACTTGCATTTTCCTCGTATAGTTTTGCCCTTTCATTATCTTACCTGATTACATGTGTTAATGTCTATTCCACTTTTCAGGTATTCCACTACTTTGTCCAGATTGCCAGCTCTGGCAGCTCGAAGAAAGCTTGCGTTGCTGTCAGACTGTAAAAAGATAAGCAGAAAAAATCTCTAATTAGCTCCTGCTTAAAAGAGATAATAATTTCATCGCAGTGAAAGGTTTCCACATGTTATGCTGCAGGTGAATAAAACTGTGAAGAATTTGCATTGGATCCGCACTAATTAACATACACAAACAGGGCTACACCGGTGCAAAACAGCAATCCCGTCAGAGTAAGCAAAATGGTGCAATAACTGCTGAATTTTAAAACTTAGCAAGAAGCAATGAAAAGACAGAAATCACAGTAACTAGTATTAACAACAAGGAAGAATAAAAAGCAACGGGTTTCCTAGTCATAGTTTTCTGGTTTCTATGTATGTGCTCAGAATGCAGGAAAATAATTAACCAATTGTTATTGGCTAAGATGCTCACGCATCAGCTTGGGATTTGTTTTTGGTGTACAAAGCTTCACGACTACAAAGTTCATGCATAAATACTGGCTATACATGAGGTATAAATAATAATATCTAAGAGAAAAAAAATAACATCTAAGAGAAAAACGAATATCCTACTATATTTTATCTACTGTAAAATGAACTGGGGCATGATAAACTGGGGAATAGGATCAGCATTGCAATTTGTTCTTGAGCTAGGTTGTGTGATGTATTGTTAAAGTGAGGGATCACAAAACGCTCCCGCCTTCTCATATTCAGCAACATTTATGCCATGAAATCACGTTGGCTATTTGAACTAACATGCACTTTGCTATTCACCTACACACGTACACACAGACAAATTAGCCATTAATGCAACCAACAATCCACGGAGAACAGAAAGTTGTGTAATAGAGGTATTCTGTATAAAACAGAACTGTATAAAACAGAATTAGCGTTTGGGAACACACATACAGAGAGTAATCATCTTTGTACATAAAATAAGCAGTCTCCACACATCAAGTAAGCATATAGAGTAGGAGTGTTTTTCAGAAGGCATATAGGTAACCACTCAAGGCTGTATAGTGAGGTTGGGATACAGAGGCACAGAGGGTTTGCACACCACTGAGCCAGGCACTGAAAGTGTTCCTCACCTAATTGCACCTCTCTGCCACAAGCACCTGATGAGAACCACAATTTTACCTGGAACAACCTGGAAGCTTCTCACTTCCAACTTATTAATGCAGATCAACAAAGCTTTTTTTTTTTTCCACTCACCTGATCCATTACAAAGCATTTATTTCTGTTGCCCAGATTACTGCACCATACTAACAACCACTGATTCCAACTTATTTTAATCTGAAACAGATGGATGTATTAAAATGATTCTTCTTACAAATGCACTACAAATCAAGATAAAAATATTTCCTTTAAAATCCCTTTAAGTAAACTCCAGCATATTTTCCACATCTTTTGCTGTTAAGAAAACAGACCGCCTTTCTAAAAACACAGCAGGGCGAAAAGGATGGTAGCACAGGAATTCACACCAACAGAAAGCTCTTATAGCTTCAGGCCTGAGACAATCAAGGACTCAGATGACACAGAGGCAGATGTCAGTGGGCACCTAAAAGAGATGCCATTTAAAACTAAATGGTAACTATTAGCACTGTGCTGTCTCCTTTGCACACATACATACACACACACAAAATATATATTTTGATCTTAAATGTCCTTGAAACAACAGTTGTCTTGGTAAAAACGTAAATCAAGATTAAACACTAGAACTTACAAGCAGTAAATTCTGACACTCTTGAAAGTGATGGGAAAAATACCTTTGCCCTCAGTATGACACACGGATTACCTTTTTTAGTTCCATTTCTATTCAAGCTTTACAACAATAAATTAACATGCCAGACCTGAGATAATCTGTTTTCATACTTTAAAGAGGTTGTTAAGGTTGAATGACACTACAAACATCTACAACTTCTTTTTTTTATTAGGGATAAATCCATCATAGCTTGGTTTTTCTTTCACACAGAGTAACACAAAAGGCCAAAATGTTAAGTCCCCAGTTACTGCTGAAAGATCAGATGGTACGTAGGACCACATAAGCATGTTTCATTTGTTTCTGGCTAAGATGATGCAAGCAGCATTTTCAAAATAGACTCTCATTTTCTTGATGCATACTTCTGGCATCTAAAAATTAATGCAATGCACATCATTGCAAGATTCATTACATACACTTGAATATCAATTAAAATGCAGAATATATACTTCTTGTCAACATGAAGAATTATTATGAATTACCTATACATGATTAACTCCCTGTACAGAGACTTCTTTTCCAGAAGCATCTTTGTATGGTCTCATTCTGAAATAACACTGCTTAATTGTGGAGAGAAGAGCAATAGGATAGCTAAAATCCCAGTAGAAAACCATGAGACCTCAATGCTCCCTTTAGATGCCTTGGAAAATATTAGAGCACATCATCTCTTTTCCCTAAAACAAAACAAAACATAACAAAACAAAACACATGCTTTATCACTGTAGCATGTACTGATCTCACATTAGGTGAATAGAATTGTACCCATCTCTTTATAGTCCACCTTTCCTATTTCAAAATAGTTTCTTACAGACTCACATGTGAAGCATTAGCAAAACAAGTGACCACACATGACAACTATCTAGAAGATCAGCATGCACTTACATGGAGTCATGCCAGGATTATCACTAAGACTTAGCAGTCAGGAGCAAGAGGGTCAACAGAGATTACATCAAATCACAGAGAGCATCTCCTGTTCTCTTTTTTATTTTAGGAGCTAACAAAGATACTAGAAAGCAACTGATCAAGCCAAGGTGGAGAGGAAGCAAGCAAGCTCACCAAGCCTGGTATTTTTACAGCCTCTCTTGCACAATGTTTCTACTACAGTATCTCTGATCACTAACCACTGTCATCTGGGGCAATATGTTATTCCACACAAAAATGCTCTTATTCAAATCTTATTAAAGATTGTGCTCTTATTTAAATCTTATTTAAATCAAACTGGAAAATACAACTAAACAACACAAACACCAATTCAGTCACTTCACATACAAATTCACGCACAAATATCAGTGTGTACTGATAGCTGAAAACATTCAAAGGTTCAGCACTGTGTTTTAAAGCTTGGAAACTGTATATCTATTTGCTTTCCTGATTTGGTTGTCATCTCTGATTTTTCAGCAAGTCATCAGTAGTTTCTCCTTTTTCCTGTTATTTCAAGGTCTTTAAAGTCATTTTTGTCAGGACTGTGCTCTCAGCAGTTTACTCACTTTGGCACATCACAAATTCAAACCCATCTCAAGAGAACTGTCTTAGTAGTCCATAGCAGCTGTTTTCTGTAGTTTCACCATGCTAGGTAACCATGATTTGGGATCTGTGGATTTTTCCAGCTGACACAGTAATCTCATAACATTTCTTTTTTCCATAATTGCAGAATTTTTACTTGAATTCTTAATGCATTTCTGTGGCACAGAAACTGATACGCTGGTTTTCGCTGGCTTGTTGACTGGTCAAGAAAAACTGTCAGCCAAATGTCATGCAAAGATACTTTCTTCACAACAACATGAAGCCAGAATCCACTGCACCCTACGATACACAGCACGCCATCTCTCCCTGTGCAAACACCTCTCACATTTTGAAGTTGTACAATCATATGTAGATCATATACAAAAGCAAGCACTCTATCAAGAAGGAAAAGAAGAGATTACCAAAGAGTATGGCGAGTAGGTGACAAATATGAGAACATGAGAAGCTGGAAGTCTGGACACATCCAATGCTGACATGTTAATTTGCAAAATCTTTCCTGGCACTTTGACACATCATTCAAACATAGGAATCTTTCTGTCTACATGGAGTTCACTAAGTTGCACAATTTAATCAGAACGTTATTAAGATGCCATTAGAACAAGATACAAAGAGCTGAAGAATACTTAGCTGGTACCTTATACTACAGGACAAAGTGATAACATGGCTGAATTCAGCAGCTTTTTTCTAATGTACTATTTTGAGATTTCTAAACTGTTCCATGAAAAGTTTTGGCTATTGTTAATTGTGCATCTAACACTGGACTGCTCCATAACATAATTTCTTCTCACAGTAACCAAGGTTGAATCTGTACCATTTATTCTACAGATATATATATAAAAACTGCTCATAATCCAGGTCAACATAGACTGTTAAAAAATCAACCACCACCACCACAACACGTTACACACACGTAGCAAGAAAGTGTTATGAGTCTATGACGACTATCATTTAACTTAGCTTTTCTTCAGCTTCTGAGTGAGGATGAACAATTCCAAACGGAAGTGAGAAATTTCCCAAGTACTACAAACAAATGAGTTACTGTGTAGAAAATAGCCACTGTAACTTTAGGTATACTCATAGCACAATGCAAAAGTGCTGATTTTAATTAGCTGGTTATCAGACTAGCTGATAAATATATTATTAAATTTAGCATAATAAAAATGTGAGATATGTGAGAGGATAGAAAAAACATTGTTTAAACAATGTTTAAAAAGTGGCTGAGAGGCCATATTTCATGCTAAATGCTATATCAGAATTTTGCTCAAATTTCAAGTGCACAACTCACAGAATCTGAGTAATTAAATTAGATCTGGAAATTAGTGTTTTATTCCAATAGTCAGAAACCTTGCCTTCTAGATCCTCTGTCCTCACTCTGGTTGCTTTTCCTGTTTCAACAGACCTCATCACTCACAGCACGTACCATCATCCTGTTTCAAAGGCACTGTACTCATATGGCAAAAACAAATTGTGATGCATAGTATTGAAGTCATACAATATATCCAACTCCCTGGAATTTCTCAACACATTCAGATTTCCTGGTGAAAACCAGCTTCACGCTCAACAAGAAAAGACTGAGCCAGAGGAGCCTTCTGTTCTCAGTAACTGAAAGCCTGCTTTTATGGTAACATTATTTAAATCATCCAAATATTCGTTTGAAATCATTTCTACAGCAAAATTGTACCTTATTTCACCAAATAACAGGAATTCTTGGTCCACAACCCCAGATACCTCTCTGTGAAAATAAAACCTAGCAGTAAGATCT